AGGTCAGCTGTCAGCTTGTGTAACAAATGTTGCCCACTGCCAACCCTGGCAGAGAACTCCTGACCTTGTAGGATACACAGGATCATTTGAAACATGATGTTCACCAAGCAGAACCCGCCATGGGGTAATGCCCAGCTGGAGATGAAGCTCGTTTGCGCAAGCCTGTTTGCGAGCCGAGCCGAACCCTTCCAGAGAAAAATTGACCAACTCCAGCCACCCGTCGAGGGATTACTTTTTTTGCATGGCGCGACTGACAGGCGCAGGGTGTTTTTCCCATATCCCCCCAGTGCTGAGCAGGGTGTGTGTGTGTGTGTATGTTTGTGTGTCTGTGTGTCTGTCTGTCTGTCTGTCTGTCTGTCTCTGTCTGTGTCTGTGTCTGTGTCTGTGACTGGGTCTGTGTCTGTGTCTGTGTCTGTGTCTGTGTCTGTGTCTGTGTCTGTGTCTGTGTGTCTCTGTGTGTGTCTCTGTGTGTGTCTCTGTGTGTGTCTCTGTGTGTGTCTCTGTGTGTGTCTCTGCGTGTCTCTCTGTGTGTCTCTCTGTGTCTCGGTGTGTCTCTCTGTGTGTCTCTGTGTGTCTGTGTGTGTGTGTCTCTGTGTATATATCTCTATGCGTGTGTCTCTGTGTGTGTGTCTCTGTGTGTGTGTGTGTCTCTGTGTGTCTCTCTGTGTCTCTCTGTGTCTCTTTGTGTCTCTCTGTGTCTGTGTGTTTCTGTGTGTCTCTGTGTGTCTCTGTGTGTCTCTGTGTGTCTCTGTGTGTCTTTGTGTCTCTCTGTGTCTCTCTGTGTCTCTCTGTGTCTCTCTGTGTCTCTCTGTGTCTCTCTGTGTCTCTCTGTGTCTCTCTGTGTATCTCTGTGTCTCTCTGTGTCTCTCTGTGTCTCTCTGTGTCTCTCTGTGTCCCTCTGTGTCTCTCTGTGTGTCTCTGTGTCTCTCTGTGTCTGTTTGTGTCTCTCTGTGTCTGTTTGTGCCTGTCTGTGTCTGTCTGTGTTGTCTCTCTGTGTGTCTGTGTGTCTGTGTGTCTGTGTGTCTGTGTGTCTGTGTGTCTGTGTGTCTGTGTGTCTGTGTGTCTGTGTGTCTGTGTGTCTGTGTGTCTGTGTGTCTGTGTCTGTGTGTTTTACATGCTCCTTTAAATTGCAAATGCGGAGGCCTGAAATGACGGCACATGTTAAAACCTACCAGTCCAGAGAGAGGGAGAAGAGGTGAGCTGAGAACAACCCATGGTGAGTTCCAGGAAGAACTGGACATTATTGGGCCACACTTTCTTTAGCTGCGGATTCCCCCCCCACCCGTTCCATTTCTCGGCGCATCTCCGCGCCAGGAGGAGCTTTTGGGTTTGATGTCGCCTTGGACTGTTCTGGTGGGCCACACCTTGAACCACGCACCCTGGACCAATTTGGCAGGTTTCCGGCGGTTCCAAGGCACACGCTCCGGGTGGGTCCAGTGGTGCCAGTTGTGTTCCTTTTGTTTGTTCGGTTCTCCTTGCCCTGCATTTCTCAGCAGTGCTTACACCCGTGAAACTGCGAATGGCTTAGAATAAGACATCTCTTCCAAGTCCAACCACTTAATCACACAATTCTCTTTCATCTCTTGATTGGGCAAGCTGGGTGGTGAGACATTGGTGAGACGTGGCCATAACTTTCTCCTTCGCAATAACTCAATAAACAGCATTGGCTTCAAGGGGGAGATCACCAGAGCCGGTGGGAAGCGATCATCAACGAAAAGGACGACATGACGGTTCACTTCATCCCTTTCTTCCTACGTTTGGGATAGCGCTGAACCTTTCATTTTTCATTTGATCACTGCTGCATGGATGCTATGGCATTTTAGAGCTAGTGCATGCGCCCAAGCCTAGCTTCGCAAGAGGGCAGTGCTTATTCTCACTCCTTGAGTTTCTGGACCGCAAGCTTTTCAGGAAGACCTCGTTGGCGACACGTTAAACAAGTTGACTTCTTGGGCCGTCCACTCAGTACGTGAGTACTAGACTCTGCCGTTGTTTCCCCGTGGCCATGGTGCGTGTATTCTGCTAATTTGCTGCCATTGCAAAGGACTCAAAATGTTTGCCAAAATGTGTGTCTCTATGATGGTGATTGCGCACACGTATTTGCAAACTTGCTTGTATGCGTGAGTGCGTTTGCATGTTTGCTGTGCATTGTGTGTGTGTGTGTGTGCGCGTGTGCGTTTGCGTGTGCGTTTGCGTGTGCGTGTGCGTGTGTTTGTGCGTGTGTTTGTGCGTGTGTTTGTGCGTGTGTGTGTGTGTGTGCGTGTGCGTGTGTGTGTGTGTGTGTGTGTGTGTGTGTGTGTGTGTGTGTGTGTGTGTGTGTGTGTGTGTGTGTGTGTGTGTGTGTGTGTGTGTGTGTGTGTGTGTGTGTGTGTGTGTGTGTGTGTGTGTGTGTGTGTGTGTGTGTGCGTGTGTGTGTGTGTGTGTGTGTGTGTGTGTGTGTGTGTGTGTGTGTGTGCGTGTGTGCGTGTGTGCGTGTGTGCGTGTGTGCGTGTGTGTGTGTGTGTGTGCGTGTGTGCGTGTGTGCGTGTGTGCGTGTGTGCGTGTGTGCGTGTGTGCGTGTGTGCCGGATGTCAGCAGTGGGAAAGATGATGACGGAGCTCAGCGCGATTCGAACGCTTACGTTCGGATGTTTAGATGTTTCAGTCATCAGTGCAAGAGTAGCCGCTTGAATGTGTGTTCACGTCGGCATGTTCTTGAGTCGCGCTGAACCAGCCTCGACTTTGGGCGCTTGGGCAGGTTTGGGGTCTGGGTGTTTTTGTTCGTGTTTTTCCTGTGTTTTCCCGTGGCTTCAAGTTTTTTTCTGGAGGGCAGAAGGCCCGCACAAGCCAAGGCCCCACATGAAGTTTGCTGGATGTATGTTTTGACTCCAGTAAGACTAGAAACACTTACGTCCATCTGCTTGCTCCAGCTGCAAGAATGCAGTGTATGTTTTTGTTGTGGGTATTTCTGAAACGTGTTGATTTGGGGCCTCTTACGGGGCGATGGCATGATGGGACCCAGTAGCACAGCGTATTTCGTTGCGACCGATGGTTGATTTGGAGGAGACGTGTTGGTTTGGCCATGCTTGGCACATCTAATTTACCTGAAGGGTGCCCTTGCCAGCAATTGCGTTTGTGCACAGTCGTGTGAGAGATGCTGAAGTTTCAAGCTTGGTCAGTGTTGCATTGACACTTTGGGCTGCCATACTATGACTTTATACTAGGGGTCATTTCTTCCCTGATGCCAGCCAATTTGGCGGTGCCTGCGGGAACTTTTCGGGTTGGCCAAAACCAAACAGAAACGGAAACCATTTCCGACGAGTCAGATCGATTTCTGGCTGAGGACCTGTCAGTGTTGCGACTGCAATCCTTCTTGGTGCTGGACATCGGCCTTTTGCCCCCCGGTTGAGCCGCTCCTAATTTGTAGCACCGGAAGAACAAGATCCTAACCTGCCTGATAATTACTTGGTTGGGTCTTAAGACTTTAAGTTTTTGGGGCATGAGGAGTTTTCCCAGCAGCAACACGTAAGACTCTTTGCACAAGGGGGTTGAGCTGTGAGCGTGTTCGGAAGCCCGCATCTGGCCCCTAAGTGAACCATTTCCTATATTCCCCTTTGGTCGGTGGGAAACATATGGAAGGGGTTGTTTCGCAGTGGGGGATCCAGGTTTGTCGGCCCACTGACACAGATGTTCGACGCACTGAGCCAGAGATGTTCGAGGCTTTTGGGAAGGTCCCCGTGTTGCCTTGGGGATTGGTGCCCCCAGTTTTCGAAAGGAATCTAAAGGGATCTAAAGCCAGCCATGCCCCTGCAAGCAAGCAGAACCCACGACAAGTGAGGCCACGCAGCAAGGCACTTCTCAAAGCGGGGCAAGGGAGCTATGGTTGTCAAGGCTCAAGAGTTAATCCCAGGTCTCTAAAACTTAACTTTGTTGTTCGAGTTACTCCTCGTCCAAGCTCTGAGACCTGAAGCCTGTGCGCAGCTTGCCAAACAAAGGAGAGACGCTTGCCTTTTGGAGGCGGGAGCCGCAAGAGGGTTCCTTCCTTCAAAGGAACATGAGATGTCCAGAGGAAAGACACCGGATCTCTCCACGCGCTTTTTAAGACCACACCCCGACTGGAGCCAAATGCAGCTATTTGAGCTCCGGGCTGCGGGGCTCTCATACCGCGAGGTATGCCATTGAGGGCCAGCCCAGGCGACGCCCTGCTGCCTGGCACTGGTTCCGTGTGGATCCTGGGGGACCCGTGAGGCGGCGGTTCACACGGGTTGGCCATGTGGCTATGGTTGTCAAAACCGTTTTGGTTCCATTTTGGGGTGGGTGCACCTTCCATTTTAGTCTTTTTGTTGGGATTGGGAATTTGACCCATGGCCATGTCAATGAGAGAGCTGGTCTACAGCCAAATGTTCCTTCTCAGCACGCCTCTGGGATTGGTGGCTTGGGGCTTGAACTTTTTCACCAGCACCAGGACATTGGCAGAAATTGGCCAATGACACAGCAATCAAAAGCAAGGTTTGTTAGAATGTCCGGTAGGTTTCTTCAAAAGGCCGCGGCCTGGCTTCACGGGAGACAACTACAATGGGAGTGTGCCAATCATAGAGGTATGTCTAAATAGCATTGTCTGCCTATGAATAGGTAAGCAGGAGTATATACATATATACATACACATATATAGACATACATAAGTAACTACATGTTTATTTGTTTGTGTATTTTGCATGTGCGTTAAACTTGAAGTGGGGGAAACAAACTCCAGGTGTGTTCAGGGGAATTGGAGGGTCCATAGTACGTACGCTAAATACACGTAGTGCGCACTTTAGCTGAGCCTCGAAGGACAGCCACAAGATGCGATGCCAAGGATAAAAGCAAGGATAACAGGATTACACCCGATTTGATTTGATGGACTGACTTGCGGGGCGAAGACCAAATTCAGGAAGTCGGAAGCAGTCATAATCAAAAATGAAAACAACACCTGTAAGAAACAGCGGCTCCAGGGCCATTTGTCATTCACCCGCCATTGAACACCATCCCGAGGTTCAGCATCTTTGATTTCACTTTAAGCCAGCTTCGCGTTGCGCTGGTTTGCCAAATGCCACTCGCACCTCGCGACTCTGGGAACCCAACCAGGCCTGATGTTGAGTCATGTTTTGCACCAAGGCTCTGGCGCATTTGGTGCACCAGCTGCTGCGAAAAGACTTCAGACTGGAAGGCTTGCACGACTGCGTCCAGGACTGGAAGCCTATGCAGGGGTTGGCAGCCCTATTGGTCTCTGTCGTTTCACGGTACCACTTTTGGATGGTTTTGAAGGGAAGCCGAACGGAAACCATTCTTTTGGGGGAAACCCTGTGATTTGAGACACCCGCAAAGAGGTGAAGACTTGCTCTTTCAACCCTTTGAAATCCTGATTTGTGTTTTTGGTCTCGGCCAGGCCTGAAGTCCGTGCATCAAGGGACATCATGTGTGAGCAAAACTAAAATGCCCTTTCAACAGGCTAGATTGGGCATACCCACGAAACTGTGACAGTATTCAAATTCAAGCCGCGCCAACATGGGGCTACATGGACGAAACCACCAACAACCTGCTGTTTGAGTAAACTGTTGATGCATGCAGATGTGGGAATCAACCGCAATGCCATTGGAGCATTCAAACTGCAGTGAGCTTATACGTCGACTGGCCGTATGAGTTGAAGGAACACGAATGCACACGACTCAGTAACTTTGGAGCAGTGTTTCTGCGGCGATCTGAAGAATTAGGGCAGTCCGTTCATCTAAGGATCAGGACAGGCGATGCAAACATGTACAGCTGAATCGGATGTTCGAAACCGGCCGGCCGGGCCCAGGATGTCCTGATGACGATGCAGATCGTCGCTTAGGCTTGCAAGGTGTTTGAGGCTTTCCGGACTCCAAGCTGCCCCTGGAGCTCCATCTCCATCTTTTTCCAGGGGGCAAGTCCAGCAGACAGCTGCTATCTCCGCGGTTTGTGAGGTTCCCTGCACTCGCAACTATCCCCTTTAAGATGAGCAAGGGAAGGAATTCCTGGCCACTGAGCAAGTATGCGAGGTAGTTCCAGGATGTGGTTTTGGTCCAGGTAGGTTCAGGATTGAATTCAAAGTCAACGGCCTTCCAAAGAGCCGCGCAGTGCACCTTTGCCATGGTCAAAGGGCCAGTCAGTATAGCTCATGAGTCTTGAGGTTGAGGAATCGCAGGGTTGGTTTGAATTGACAGTTCAATACATCAAAGTGGCTCCAGCATTCGCAAGGCTTTCTTAGGACCTACGCTTTGCAATTCGCTGATAATGTCTAGCTTGGCTGCCACGTTTGGTTGGCCAATCAAAAGTCTATAGTTTCAGCCATGAAGGCCTTCCGATGAAACGGTTGCCTCACTATGCCTTGCTCAAGTTTGTCATTGTGGCCGTGGCTCATTTTTGCTCTTTCAGGGGCTTTCATGCAATCACATACTCATCAGGCGGATCAGGTGTGAGCCTGCTCGATATAGTTTTCACAGGCACCATGGTTCCCAGAGTGAGTTTTGCTAAGGCCTAACACAAATAGCCTGTATATGTTGCCCTTGGAAACGAGGGGGATCCCAACAGTTAGTATTCTTACTGTAATGCTTCGCCTTGCGCCCTTGTGATAGATAAACATGCAAATGAACGAACATATGGATAACGATGGATCAAACAAATAGAAAGTTAACACACACATACCAATGAGTAGGTAGACATGTCAACAACTTTGCACGATAGTTGGCTAGCTAGTTAGCTACTTAGCTAGTTTAGCCAGTTAGCTGGCTCAGCAAGCAAGCAGTTCAACGGCAAGCTAGAAGGCAAAAGCTAGTTAATTAGCTAGTAGCTAGTCAGCTGGCTAACTCGTTAGCAAGTGAGCTAGCTAGCTTGTTAGCCAACTAGGTAGTCAACCTAGCTAGCCGGTCAACTATAAGCTGATTAGCATGGCTGGCTAGTTATTGTTGGCTAGTTTAGTGCTTGGTTACTTATTAGCTACTACTTCCATAGTTGGCCTGCCAGCTGGACGGTTTGTTGCTTAGCCGATCCTGGCGCACAAAGAGCTCAGCAACCTAGGCGGTTCAGCGGCTTCGTGGTGGAGCCGTGGGCACTGTGTGGGTGCCAGCGCCGCCGGCCTCTGACAAGGACCTTGCCAATGCCCGGACACTGCCTGGGGCCCCGGAGGGAGGGTTTGAGGTGTGCTAAATCTGGGCCAAACTCAAACACAGCTTCTTCTTTTTTTCGGAAGCCTCGCGAAGGGTTCTTCCCTGCAGAGCCCTTGGACCACTTGCTCAGAGAACTGCTCAGAGAACTTGCTCTAACTTCACTTTCTATGGCGGCGGTGTGGGACCGTCGGCACTGCTCGCGATGGCGGCGCGTTTCTTGGATTGGCACGGTCGATGTTGAAGGGCTGAGGATTTGTTTCTCCTTTTGTGGCTGCCTGCAAAATTAGCGTGATCCATGTGCAAAAGCTGAGGCCTCGACTTTCTCCGGTCGTGGCGCAACCCTTTGCGTAGATCGGTGTGGTCGAGGTTCAAAAGCTGATGCGATTGCTACCTTTGAACCTGCGCGACACTCTGTGGGGATCAGCGTGGCCTACGAGAATTGTGCAGAGGAACTTGCTCGTAAAGAACTTGCGCAGAGATCAAAAACAGACAATGCTCTTGTGTTGCCCGTGAGGATTTGCTCTTGCATAACAACCTGGTCAGGGCCATCCGTTTTCTAGTTTGTTTGTGTTTCATTTTTTGGGTGGGTGGGGAAGCTGGGGTAGGTTTGGACTCACCGCCGTGCAGTTGGTGCCTTTTCTGGTCTTGAAAGGTGGGCAGCGGGAAGTTTGGGATCGGTCTCCAAGAATCGGGGGTCGTTCATTCGAAACACCATGCATAGAGGCCAGGAACTTGATGTTTTCAATTAAGGAGACACCATCGTCTTTCTTCAGGATGGGAGTGTCTCATGCAAAGACAAAACCGCTTCGCAAACCAAGGGGGAAACTTGGACACCCTACGGATCAAGGTTTCAGAAGTATGTGCGTGCAGGCAAAAGTCCACGGCACAGGAGGCGTCGAGGTGCCAGGTAGACAGAGGGGAGGAGTTTGTCTCAATGTGGTTTCTCTTTTAATGGGCCTTTAAAAGGTAACCAGCTTCTTGGAGGTCCAACACTTTGAGAAACACTTAGGCAATCTGTGAATGGCAGTGCCAAATGCCAAACTCAGCATATTTGCTGAAGACTATCCCCCCCAGCTTAAGGCGGAAGAACCTGGTTGCAGATGGCCCGAAGTGTCCACCACATGTGTGGGGAAGGACGGAGGGAATGGACCTTTGGCCCCCTGAAGCGAACCAGAAGGCGGTGGTTCAGGCGATTCGCCACCCTTGGAGCAGGTTTGACCGGGCTGTTCGCGCCAGCTTGTGCAGTGGGGCAGTGGAGCGGTTGAGGGCCTGTGCGAGCATTTCTAATTTTGATGTTCAGCCTTCAAATATCGCGCGAGTAACGTTGTTTTTCTTCCTGAAGGTAGGGACAGCGACTCAGGTATGTGCACCGGGTGCCGCAGCGTCAGGATGCCTTCGCGGCCATTGCCAAGCTCTTTGCCTCCTTGCCGGCGCCCGGGCGAGACCGGCTGACCGGCTGACCGGCTGACCGTTGGACGCCTGTTTCTGGTTGATCGGGAGTCCACTCCGAAAATATGAGTCGGGCCACGAAAACAAGAACAAATTTGTCCTTACCTTCTGTTTGCCAGGGTTGCTGGACAAGCGTGGCAGATGAAGGGGGCCCAATATGCATGTCCAGTGGAACAGCCCCTTGGTTGGGACAGTTGCTTGGGCTTGACCCTCCGTCAGCGTCCTGGCCCCAAGAGATTTTGTTTTGCCTCAGGTCGCCTGGGCAAGAAAGGCTCGGAATGTTGGAGTTGCATTCCTCTTCCGCCGCCCTGGGTTCGATTCTTCAAGAAGTTTGATGGACATGACGATTTTCCTCACCGGCACGCTTTCTTTGCAGGGCATGAGCTCCAGCCATGTGGAAGCTGAGGCCGAATTCGGGTCATCCTTGGAGGGCATCAATATGTTGCAGTCGGGCAATGCCGCGCTCATCAGTGCCACAGCACGGTTTGCCTCGGCGGAGGCTGCAGAGGCGGCGCGCCTTACCCGCACGGGGCTCCGGTGAGCCTCACACAACCACTCGCTGAGGCTTCCCACATTCCAAGCCAAACCCATTTGCCTGGAAACAGCATCACCTAGGGAAACCTAGCCGACCAACACCCACACAACCTCAAACAGCAGCCTGAGCCACAGCTTTGAAGCCTGGGCGATCAGAGAGCCTTCAGCAAGACTGGATCTTTCTTTTCCTAAATTATTATTTGTGTTTGCTATCAAGACGAACAAGGGCATTGCCTTCAATGGCTAATTTCCAATTCGAAAGAGTATCATTCACATGTATCCCAGAGTTTTGTTCGTGAATCAAGTTTATGCCACCTAGATAATCGTACAACCTACGTATCGACGTGGCCCACGCTTTATTGTGGTGCGGCAGTGCGGTTTGAGCAGGTGCGGGGTTTTAGTATAGTGCTGCTGTCCCGATGAGTTCCAAGCAAAAGTGCGCCTTGGGACAAGGACACCCAACCGGGTTCTGCATAAAGTGGCGGGTTCACTTGCCTCAGTCATGGCTTGCCGCAAAACTCTTTCGCGAGCTTTCGAGCCTAGATTCTATTGGCAAGAGATCGTTGCGCTTGAAGCCCTGCCTTTGAGCACGAATCCAGAAAGGTGCCAGTCGATTGATCACGTTCAAAAGGCAAGGGTCCCAATGGTTGACCCTCGTGCCCTCTATTCAATATTGCTTTGAAAGGGCGCAGACGGGTCCAAACAACACCCCGGTGTTGAACAGCTATGCCAGTTTGCTTGCAAGAATGATGGCAGCTGTGAACCGCTGATTGGGCAGACTGGCACCTGGCCTGATAGCTTCAAATCAATTGCACTCCGACTGAGGCAACGTTGGAAGATGTTGCAAGTCCGAAGCATGGGATGTGCAGTTGGTGTGCGTTTGCTTTCCTTGTTGGTTTGTTTGTTTGTTTGTTTGTTTGTTTGTTTGTTTGTTTGTTTTAGGAGTGGCTCCTTTTTGACAGCTGTTCCGCGTACTTGCTTCAAGGAATTAAGAATGTTGACCCCTGTTAAATACGTCTCACCCATTCCCCCATTTGTCAATCAGGGCGCCTTTGGGGTCATGGTCCCCGCGTTTGGCTTGGGCCCTTAATACTCAAGCAGCCTGATCCCTGCGCCAGCCGGCCTCAGGTTTCTGGCCATCCCTGCAGAGTCCATCGAGATCGACAAGGCGCGAGCGCATTTTGTTTGCAAGCGCGAGCGACCTGCGCTATATATATATACCCTATGCTTCCTTCTTTAAATAGCCTCGACCATTTAAAAAAAAAAACGAAAGGCTAGAAAAGTAATGTCCCTCGACACTTAAGTAGGTCTAGACAAACTTGGCCAACTTGAGACGGCTGGCTCCTGACATCCCCGCGCGCTTCTGTGCAGTGAGAGGCTGAAGAACTTTATTGCTGCCTTTTGTAAAATAAGCTAAGTATGTTTTAAAGTTGCTTCATCCCGTTGCAATCACACGCCGTCACCATGTTGTGTTAATTTGGTTTGTCACTCGCGTGCTTTTCCGCTTCTTGTCCGCAGCTCCACAGAGTCTGATCGCCTGTCGCGTGGACAAACCATGGACAAACCGTGGAAAGTACATTTAAAAGCGTGGACAACCATACTCCCAGGATCCCACAACGCATGCCTGATCGGCAGCGATGCCCCGAAGCCACTAAGTTTGCAGCATTTTTCAAAGAAGCCGGACTTCAGTACGGTAGGCGGGACACTTGGCGATTTTGACAAGTGATGTGACCATACAATTGGCAAGCCGGGGAATGAGTGGCTTGGGCGCAGTCATTTGCAGCTGGGAGGATGAGGGCGGCGTGACTGTCAGTGACCTGACCCTAAGCAATTCTTGGGCAACAAACACCATCATTTCTTGGATATTCCGGGCCAGGAGCAAAAAACGGCCGAAAGCGGGTTACATGCACTACTTTTATTGGAGGGCTGTTTTTAGTGTTGTTTTTTTGCCGTTCTCTGGGCTCGCTTTTCGACGCTAGACCCACAGTAGCTTTAGACTGACCCGAAGCAAACCTTTTCTAAAGCCTACTCTCAAACCAGCTCTAAACCAACCCTAAACTAAGCCAAATCTAAACCTTCCAAATTCAGCCTAAACCAAAGCTTTTGGTGGTGCCGGGGGTGTTGAACAGGATGCTGGGGGCGTCAAACGCGATGCTAGGGATGTTGCGGGGGCGTTGACGGCGCGAGCGTAAAACAGTTTCATTTTGCTGGAAGCTGCTGTAAGGCACCCGTCATTCTACTGCCCGCCGAACCTTGGAACAAAAAGCACCCGCCGAATAAATGAAAAAAGAACCCTTCCGCCATTGGCCCATTTCCAAATCTTTCAGCCGTGAGCCATCAAAGACAGAACTCGCAGACTCGGAATGGTTGGCTTCACGTTTCGAGCCAAACCGGGCCACGTGCAACCATGTGCACCATGGCTCGCTTTGCGGCTCCCACGGATTCCCTCCCTCAGGGCAAAGCTCCCTTTTGAGTCTGGTCACAAAGGGCCTCGCTTCCACTGCCATGAAGCGAATTGCTCGCCCAACTTTAGGCCACCAAACCGAACCCGAACCAGCAATCTGATGGCGCACCTGATCTCTCATTTCCGCAGCCGACAAGAGCTTCCAAAACCGGAAGGGCACGAATCCCGTGAGGAAAGATCCTCAGTGGCATGGCAACTTTGCTTTGGCAAACCCTTGAAGCTGAGAGCCTAGCATTTTCTTGGCTGCCGCTCCGGTGAAATGTGGTTGGTAGAGGGGGTCCTAGTGGAAAGCGTGGGTCGCCCTCCAAGCTTTGTTTCGGTTTCGAGATTTCCCATGGACCCATGCGTCGTTTTGGCTGGGAACAGGCTGAATAAGCTGTTCATCGGGGTCCTTGCGCGAAACTTTCCACTTTGCGGCTTGGTGGTGCGTAGCCATCAGATGCGAACGTGTCAAACCAAATACGGGTTGGTTTCTTGCGCCTTCCCTTGTGAAATCATCCCAAAAGGGTGTCCAGTCTTTGCCCTCAGTCATGTTGTTCGGGGTAGTTGCCGAGTACTAAGATGTGGTCTATGCTTCAGTTCTGCGCCCTAAGATGGCCACGGTCCCGCCAGACTCCGCTTAAGCCAAATGCGGAGGACCCTGGCACTTACCCTGAGAGCTGGGCAACTAAAAGCCACTTACGCATGCATTTGCACCCGTGTTCTTTGAAGGGCGGAGGCAAGCATCGTTTCTTGGGGAGAATGCCTGTGGCAAGTCAATGCTAGATGAAATCTGGGCTCCGAATTCCCGTAGGTTCAGCGCCCTCAGAAGTTGGTGAAGATCCACTTTGAGGACGCGTTGCGCCAGTGCCTGGGGAAGGTCGGGGCTGATGGCGCATGGGCTCGGGATGTTTCAGATGTTTCAGGAACCCTTCGGCGGCCTTGCCGGCATTTGGGACGGCACCCTCCCCTGGGGTGGCCGCATCCTACTTGTCAAGCACAAAAAGATGGATCCCTCTTTCCATCCGGGATTGAGAAACTTTCGCCCCTCTGTCTTTCCCTCTTTCCATCCCTCTTTCCTTACTGGAGAAACTTCGCCGCCGACCAGTTCGGCACGGTGTTGGGCTTGTCCGGGGTTCTTTTTTCAGCTCCCCTGCAATTGGTGGTTTGGATTGGTTTTGGGGGCTTGCGCCCCAGCGCCAAAGGGGGATGGTGCGCCCCATGGCCCAAACCACCAAACCAAACTACCAAGGGGTAAGCTTCTTCTTTTGTGAACACTCTGTTTGGGTGTTCACGTCTTGCGAGCTTCCGCAATCTCCGCATAGTCTCATACCTTCTCCACTCTTCTCCTGCGTCATTATTCACCCGGATCTCATGCTTTGCCTCGCTTTTGCTCTTTTGCTGTGTTCCGCACTATATAATTGTCTTGTTTACCTTGCATGGTATTCTCCTGCTTGTCTTTGTTCTTTCTCATGACTTCCATGTTTTTAGTTGTTTTGTTTTGCTGACTTCTGCTTCTGATTGCCAAAGGCGTCTCTTTTCCAGCAATTGTCCACTGATGAAAGATGAATGGCCAACAGTGCTGGTGATTGCTGACCACCGCAGCTATATTCTTGTTGTTTGTTCCGCTCTCTCTCTCCCTCTCCCACTGTGTTCTATCCGCAGCCGGCTGCTTCTCCAATCTCGGGAAGCTCCAGTCCTGCCTGTAGGACCCAAGGATCTTACAAATTCCTTCGAATGACTCTAGCTCGGAAGCTGTGAGTTGTCATCCCCGGGTTGTTGGTTCACTGGTTTTCACAGGTCTCGTTTGCAAACCTTGACTGTGAGTTTGACAGGACCGCAGCGCGCTGATTTGCATCCGGCCCATTTTGGGAGGCGCCAAGCCGGGGTCGACGGTGTGTGGCACTTCTTCACGTGAAACATCAGGCGCCCACGCAGTTGTTCAGTGGCACACGATGTTTGTTTGGCAAATGGGTCAACCTCAAAAAGGCTTCCCTTCTTCTGCCACTGGGCAAGCAGGGAGTCTCATATGTTGTCGTCAGGACGGGATCGAGGGCTGAGCTCAAGGTCAGGGGTCCCACATGCGCGACTCTGCCAAAAAAGTACATGCATCCCTGCACTGCGTCCCAAGTTTGCCCTTTTTCATTTCGGATACATGGTCATGGATATTTGGGATTCCAGCTGCCCATTGGATCAAGGCTGCAGACAATGTTTGAGTTGTTGCTGTGGACGGTCATTTTCTTGCATGGTCCTTTTCTATGTGTTCAGCCTACCGGACCTGTGGGTTTGATAGCACGTGCATGCCAAGCAACATCGCGGGATTGTGGCGGCAGCAGTTGGTGTCGGAAGGTTTTGGCACTTGCACGTTTTCTGCGGGCTGTTTGGAACACATTATCTTCGAGGCCTTTTGTTTTGTTTGGCGTCCTTGTTTGGATGACACTAAATGAATTCCACTGGTTTTAGTTCCTATTAACGTCCCTCTAGTATTCAGCAACCCTCCCCACACCAAGAATAGTAGAGGGGGCTGTAGTTAGAAACTCCCAGCGGATCGGAGATTCCTCGCGTGCTTGTTGCTCCGGATTTTCGGCAATTTCGGGGGGGTCGGGGGGGGGGGGGGGTCAGGGAATGGATCTGGGTGTTGCGACAATACGCAGGGATTTGCTCATTTTTTAGATAGGTCGACCTGAGGACCTCGGAGGTTGCTCCGGCTCAGCATGGGGCCTGCTGCCCGTCTTCCGCCAGGCATTGGCAAGGCGAGCTTGGCGAAGCCGGAGCCCAAGGCGCCGGTGGTGAAGCCCAAGCGCACGGGGAAGGCTGGGACCGTGGTCTGAAAAATCGGACCTTTTGGTGGACAGAATCTTCAAGGAGATGTATGTCCACCAACAATTTTTGAACACGTTCTCCGTTGAAAGCAGCAAGTCGCCCACGATTTTGACCGGGCCCGAGTTTCCGTCCGTTTCCCTAGGGTAGCGCCAAGGCATTGTGGCCTACCCCTCGGGGATCCCATGAAGAGCCTCAGAGTGTAAGTGGTACGTTTCAGACGAGGCAATGGCACATGGCAAGCTGACTATGTAAAAACAAGGATGGCAAATCAGAACCCATAAGATTTTGCTCAAATTCAGGTCGAGCGCCCCCTTCACTTGTCCACATGTAGGATATATTTGCAGCCATGTGAGGTCCGTTAGTACGTTTTTTGTTGTTGTTTTTTTGGGAGGTCCCAATCCAGACCTTTGGCGTTCTTTGCCCTTTCTTCTATTTGTTGGGTATGTGAGTCTGAGTTTTGCAAGCTGTTTTCACAGATCCCATCCGGGCAAGGCGTTGAAGGGAGACGTACGTGTGAAACTACATGCGATAGCGGTGGCGCATGGATGCAATGGCGAATGCTTGTTTTTGCGAGAAGAAACCTTTCGTTGCGCCAAGTTCAAAGTCTGTTGTCATCATGGCAAGCGAGTTGGTGTCTGCTTTGTTCGTTGTTCGCAGGCACATGTTTGGCTGTTTGGTGGTGGGGCGCTCTAGCCCCGCGTGCTTGCTAGCAGGGGGCGTGGCAAGCATCTTTGGGCCAAAGCAAGAGCTCTACGGTGAACAAATTCTGGAAGCCCGCGCTAGTCCAATTGTCAATCGACATGTTCCTTCCACGGGCAACAGTCACAGCATGTGCTCAAGCAGGAGGACAGCCAATATGAGCAGCCCAAACACTTGCTAATTTGAAGATCTACCATCTACAGTTGACCCCTGGGAGCTCAACAGCTGCTGACAAGTTGTGTAGGGGCCTTGAAAAAGAAGATGCAATTGGTCACCACAAGCATGGCTTTTCAGAGGTGCCGTGCTATATTTTGCATTGTGCGCTTCTGGCCGATCGGTTTCCTGTCGGCATCCGAAGGTCAGACTGTTTGACCGATTCCCTGTTAGAGTTCCACATATTTTTGCTTTTGGGGATTTTTCATCATCACCGTTTGCCTTTTGGTGGGGTGTGGATTTTGGCGCCAAGATTCACTTTAAATCGGTGACCCCTTTTTGATGGTGCAGGGGGTCAATCTTTTATGTGGGGGCAAATGGGGCGGTTTTTGTGTGGCTGGTGTTCTGTGGCGTTTAGGTTGAGGCTCGGGCTGAAACACCACGAAGCCAGAAAAGCAGAACAATACACTACATCTAATCTCAAAGTTGGTACCACAAGAAATGGTTCCCTCAAAGAAGGACACACCCCATATGGACCCCCAAAAGAGCAACAATGTGTTTTTCCAACAGAACGGAACTCCCCTCATGTCATATGGGAGTTTCTCGAGATGCCCGAGCTTTTCTTTTGGGGTATGAAAAGTAAACCACAAGGAAGCCAACCATAGGGCACCGAGTCCGATTTCACGACACACCTCAAGCGCCAAAAAAAAGGGTTTCCAACTTCCAACCCCTAAGGATGGTACCCTGCTGTACCCCAAAATGGTACCCTCCCATCCATTAACATGGAATCTGACTGATGGGCCCTCCAAAAAAAGGTTTCCTTTCAAAGGTACTCTGTTGGGTTCCATGTTAGTGGACAGGAGGGTACCCCCTGCTCGTGGTTAACCTCAGGGCTGGCCTGGGTGGCGGCGAGCGGCCGAGCAGCTGCTGGCGGCACAGCCGAGCAAAGCCTTGCCCATCGGCGCGTAATGGGAGCGGGAGGGAGGAAAAAAAAGACCCCACAGACCCGTTAGGACTGAAAGACTGTTGCCAACTATATAATGGGTTTTGTGAATTAAACCACTAGAAGCTAGAAACTTTTAGTAGGGGAGCAGAAAGCAACCGAGGACAACCAAGGAACTTTAAAAACCCATGGAATGGATTCCTGAACATCGTGAAAACCTGAAAGAAAGGACACTTTGAATTTGGGAACCCGTTTGTCGCCCTACAAAATCCTGAACGCCGGTAATTGTCGAGTGGAGAAGGTTATTTGCTCGAGGGGGCTCGTACTACCCTCTCATCAGGAAGTTGACGTTTTTGGGGCTTCCCAAAAAAGAGAGTACTGGATGGAGACCTGGAGTCCGTGGAGGATCAAGTTCCGTTTTAAGGGATCCCGTGTCAAGAGATATGTTGGAGGGAGGGTACTGCACTCCATTTGCACTCTTGCATGCTAACGTTAGAATCCTCATTAAAAGGAGGCAACTCTTTTCTTTGGGCCCACATGTGGGTTCCATGTCATTTTGCAGGGGGGTTAACATGAGTTCCCCATGGTGACTTAAGTTTTGTCATATCGGAACAATCCCCAACGGTCTCTTTGGTGCAATTGACGTCATAACTTTGTTCAGTTTTGTGGCAACCCAAACCCCCATTCTAATTATTTAGCCTCTTGCAATACTTTCCGGGCCTCTTGCAATACTTTCCGGGCCTCTTGCAATACTTTCCGGGCAGCTATGATTTTTAGGGACCCAACCTGGTCGAATCCCCACTGAATCTTGATTAACAAAACACTTTTTCCGGACAGCTAACTCGGCGAGTCCGAAATCTGGGAGCCTTTTTTTTTAAAAAATAAAATTCCTTGGACAAAAGCAACAAATAAAAATCAGTTAAACAGAGCGACCCTGGCCAAAGCTGCCAAGGGAAACCTCGGTCTTATTTGCTCGCATGGTAGAATGGCCGTGCCACTTATCACCGCTTTGAGATGTTTAACGGGGAACTCCGAACATGGTTGGTGGACGCAACATCTTATGTCTCAAATCAAAGTTCAGAATTACCCAGTTTCCCGGGTGCTGTTTCGGCTTTTGTGCCCTCTGTAAGAGGGAGTCGTTGCTGCAAGCTGTTGGGTGCTGTCGGCGAGTGCCATTGAGGTTTGCACAGGGTGCTCTTGTACACAGTGCTGTTGGACAGGGTGGTGCTGGAGGGTGTTGTGCAAGTGTGTGTGTGTGTGTGTGTGGGTGCTTTTCTTCTGCGTGTTGTGTGCAAGTGGTTGTATGTATGTTTGTGCGTAGATGTTTGTGTGTTCGCGATTGTGCGCTTGTGTGGTGTGTGTGTGTGTTCTTTGTGTGCGTGTGATTGTTTGGTGTGCGTGTGCTTGTTGGGTGTGCGTTTCCGAAAGTAGGTGTAACTGAAGGTGTAAGTGTATAATGTGTGTGCGTGTTTGTGTCTGTGTTTGTGTTTGTGTTTGCATCTGTTTTTGCGTGATTGCGTTTGTGGTTGTGATTGTTTTGTGATTGTTTGTGTGTTTGTGTGTTTGGGTTAGTTAGTTCTTTTTTTGTTCTGTGTGTGTGTGTGTCTGTTTGTGTGTGTGTGTGTTTGTGTGTGTGTGTGGTGTGTGTGTGTGTGGTGTGTGTGTGTGTGTCTGTGTGTCTGTGTGTTTGTGTGTGTGTGTGTGTTTGTGTGTGTGTGTGTCTGTGTGTGTCTGTGTGTGTCTGTGTGTGTCTGTGTGTGTCTGTGTGTGTCTGTGTGTGTCTGTGTGTGTCTGTGTGTGTCTGTGTGTGTCTGTGTCTGTGTCTGTGTCTGTGTCTGTGTCTGTGTCTGTGTCTGTGTCTGTGTCTGTGTCTGTGTGTGTGTGTCTGTGTGTGTCTGTGTGTGTGTCTGTGTGTGTCTGTGTGTGTCTGTGTGTGTGTGTGTGTCTGTGTCTGTGTCTGTGTGTGTGTGTGTGTTTGTGTTTGTGTTTGTGTTTGTGTTTGTGTTTGTGTTTGTTTGCATGTGTGTGTGTGTGCACGTGTGCTTGTGCGAGGTTTTGCTTTGTTCCGGTGTGTTGCTTCTCTTTACTGGGTTTCAGCGCAGCAAAAGAGATGTGCCCTCAAGGTTGTTTGTGTGTGTGTATTGTTTGTACCAAAAGTTGCATTCACAGTTGCTTTTTGGTGTCTACAACGGCAAAATGCCGATTGCCTTGCATTGGAACAGCAGGCCAACGGTCAGATTCTTGGTCAAACATGATGGATGCAAGCATGTTGGGTCGCCCCAAGAGAAGGCTAGTCAACCGGCCCCTTGCTTTCTGAAGGCTACTGACACTCTTAAACCCAGTTGCTCAGTGGCGCCCTTTGTTCCTTGTTTTGCGAAGGGTTCCCTTTAAACTCAAGCAACCCAAAAAGCCCTTGTTTCCCCTGGCCACTGGGCTTGTGAGTAAAAACAACGCCAATGGGTAGCCTCAAAAACAACGAGCCCGTTTGAGCTCAGATGCACTTCCCCGAGCCTCGCCCAGGCACTGGCAACAGCTCATCGAAGAACTGGTGCTGCAACGTCGGGAGCAGGCGAGCAGAGTTTGCGGGCAGCGCCATTTTCGTTCCAGCGATGCGCTTGTGACGACGTTCGGCCTGTTTTACCAAGCCCTCCCCACCTTCCCTGGCAAGATGTATTGATGAGGGTTTGCTTTCAAGGGGCTTCCTCTAATCCAATATGACGGTGACCTCTTGGAAGATCGCTGCAAGCAAGATGCATTCTCAGCCACTTTCCTGTCAGCGACCATCGCCAATGCCAGCTGTATACCGCTTGAATGCTGTGCTTGCTGGCTCTCAGGGAAAGGGAATGTCATCAAATGGTTTCTCTGCTTTTACTGCACATTCCCTTCCTGGCCCTATGACTGACTATATTTGCATGTTGATTGCACTGCATTTTTGCCCTTCCCTCCTGACTGCTTTCCCTATCAAAGATCCCAGGTTTCACTGATGCTTCACTTGGCCTTTCGCTTTTTTTCCGCCCTTTTCGCTGGCTTTGGCCCCACACCCCCCCCCCACACCCCGCCCCCCCCAATCCCCAAATCCCCAACTCGGAAGGCGGGCGGGCGGCCGGGGGAGCAGAGCGAGCCCCAAGAGCTGCTGCAGCTCCGCGCCCTCGCGCACCTCCCCGAGGATCCGACTCCGGACTCGGAGCGGATCGATCGAGCGGAGTGGGCCGCATTTTTTTCGCGGGTGAGGTGGTAGCGGCAGAGACAAATTCAGCCCAAGACATCCCAAGACCGTTGTTTTTTGCCCTGCAAGGAGTGGTTGATTCCGACAATTCTTTTAAGCCATCCTTCTTTTCCACGATTTCCTCAAAAGAAGGATCCCTGAAAGAATGGGGAAGCTTCCCCTAGACACATGGAACCTCACAGAGGGAAGCTCATTGTCCTTTGAAAGAGACCGCGCTGGAGTCACGTTCGGGGATTATATACCCTCACAGGGCTCCTTACAAACCTCAACGACTGGAGGGCAGATCTTTATTTGATGGTACCTTTAAGTGTTGAAGTTACCAGAGAGAGAACAGGTCCAACAGGAATCGTGTGCAGGTTGGACCCTTTCGTGGACATCATTTGGGGATTCATGTCCACCAACCACTTTCGCGGTGGTTCCAACTCTTAATATTCATTCCCAAATGCGAACAGGTCCTGATACCAAAGCGGGGAGTTCAAAATAGGACTCGGCACGTTGAGACAACCCTCTCCCAGGAGATTTCATGGAAGCGTTTAGAAGGCTACAATGGAACCAAGCCTTCTCAAGGGGAGCTACCATGTTAGCCATGGGT